AAGCAAATGCCAGGACTACTCAAATTGTCTTAAAAAACAAGTCCTACCATCCCTTAAAACCTACTGCAATTTAGAAACCTGTCTCACCCTGTAAGTTAGTAAATGTAGCTCGGTGAGACATGGGAAGACACTAGGACATTGTCCTGTAGTTGATATAGGAAGGGTACTTTACTAGTCTGTATGCTGGGGCAAGACAAACGATATCTGTTTGCTTCAGGATTCATCAACTGATGTGGTGCCTCTGCACTCAAATGTGCAGGCACATAATCTTAGGATGGCCACACTCTGGAGGGAGATGGATTTCCGAGTTGGGGGCAGAAGAGACTGCATAATGTAACATTAAGGAGTAGGAAGCCTTCAGAAGGGAAATGCGGTAGTGTGTATTCAAATAATGGGACAGGGCATCAGGACAGAGGGAATAAGCAGTGAGTGAAGACGCTTAAGATATTGACTTGTCGCCGGGCGGTGGTGGCGCACACCTTTGATCCCATCACTTGGGAGGCAGAGGCAGGCGGATTTCTGAGTTCGAGGCCAGCCTGGTCTACAGAGTGAGTTCCAGGACAGCCAGGGCTACACAGAAAAAACCCTGTCTCGAAAAACCAAAAAAAAAAAAAAAAAAAAAGATATTGACTTGTCCCAGAATTGAGGAACCCATTCCAGACTTAGGAGTGGACATACAAGAATGGATTTCTGAGACCAAAGATTTACAAATGGACTGGGGACTTAATATTATATCAGGGGCATGCAGAATTAGAAGACAGACAACACTCTTGTCAACAGCATTAGCTGGCTGCCAGAGATTAGTGATTTCTGTAGTCCAAAATATGGTTGCATCTAGTTTGACTTCTGATTCTGAATACTAATTCATTGTTTTGTACATCTGTGGCTATGCATAGTGAACCCCTCAGGATTTACCTCCACAGTGGAACACAGTAAGAGTGCAGGATCTGTCCTGGATCCTGTTAAAGGCAGTGGGACTTAAAAGCTCCCATGGGTTTAAGGTTCTTTTTTATTTTTTTTTTGTTTTTTGAGACAGGGTTTCTCTGTGTAGCCCTGGCTGTCCTGGAACTCATTCTGTAGACCAGGCTGGCCTCAGACTCAGAAATCCGCCTGCCTCTGCCTCCCAAGTGCTGGGATTAAAGGTGTGCACCACCACCGCCTGGCCTGTAACCAAAGTTATAACCTCCAGAAACTGCTCATGAATTCACACAACATTGAGACTCGCCCTCAAGCACTCACTGGCCACTGGCATCTGCTCTTAGCTAACAGCTGACTGCCATCTTGTCAGCTTGTTTAAACCTGCATTTCATCTAGTGAGCATGTAATGACTTAAAATTTGAAAAGCTGGCTGCAGTAATGCATGCCTTTAATGCAGCACTAGGGTAGAAGTCTGCAGGCCTGATCTACACAGTGAGTTCCAGGATAGCCAGAACTACATAATAGGCCTGGTCTCAAAATAAGCATCCTTACTCCCAGGAGTTGAGAAATAGAGGCAAACCCATGTTTATGAGTTTGAGTATAGTCTAATCTACAGAGCAAGTTCCACAACAGCCAAGGATACACATACACAGAGATTCTATCTCAAAAGTCTCTGTGTGTGTGTGTGTGTGTGCGCGCGCGTTCGTGCATGCAGATGCCCTGAAGCTGGTTTTCAGGCAGTTGTGAGCTGCTGGCTATCCTAGGAACTGAACTTGGGTCCTCTGGAAAAGTAGTATGTCTGTACCTGAAATACTATACCTTGACAGACCCTTAAGTTTAACAGTAAGTGAATGTAGGTCATTAAATAAAAAGGGGACTAACCTTGAGGGGGGCGGGGGAGATGTCAAGGAAAGGAGGTTATTGAGGAAGGAAGGGTACAAGTGGAAGCAGGGAGTTGGCAAGAAGCTAAAAGGAAGATAGTCCAAGTACTTGGCTTGCTTTCTTTCTTTCTTTCTTTCTTTCTTTCTTTCTTTCTTTCTTTCTTTTTTTTTCTTCGAGACAGGGTTTCTCGAACTCAGAAATCCCCCTGCCTCTGCCTCCCAAGTGCTGGGATTAAAAGCGTGTGCCACCACTGCCCGGCAAGTATCTGACTTTCATTTTGCGTGTATAGGTGTGTCATGTATGTACAGGTGCCCTTGGAGACCAAAAGTGGGCAGTAAATCTCTGCAAGTTATAAACACTTCTAGCCACATGATATGGGTGCCGGAATCTGAACTCAGGGCCGCTACAAGAGCAGCAAGTGTTCTTTAACCATTAACCCACCTTCCCAGCCCTCAAAAAATATTTGAAATTGTTATAATAAAACATAATACATAGTTGTATACTAATTTAAGAAATAAAAAAATTAAATTAGCCTAACCATGAAATCGAGATAGTTGGAATTTAGGAGCTTTCAGATGCTCGCCAAAGCTTTCTGAGTATTAACTCATCCAGCCCTCAATACCTGTGGGACAGGTTTTTTCAGGTGAGACTGATTCACAAACAGGTTATAGGATTTGCCTGAGATCAGCAGAGCCTCTCCTAGTGGCCAACTTCTATTGCCTTTTCAAAAATTATCTGCTTCTTGAAACAATAGCAAATACACAAAAGCTAGAACAACCCCTTTCCATCGATGACTAGTTCACATTTAGCCCTGTCATACTGTGGTATCCAATCTGGACACTATCTCAGGAAAAAGACCAACAGGATAGCTCAGTGGGTAGAGCTGCCAAGGCTGATGGCATAAGCTCCTGGTACCCAGATGGATGCTATCCAGTGGCCTTCATACATGAACTGGTATGTGTGTCTCCTCTCCAAAACACATTTTAAAAACACATCAACCAGTGTTTTTATGATTAAAAAATATGAAAATAAAAAAGTATGGATCATAGATAAAGGGCAGTTAATCTTCTGGTGCTGTGGATTCTCTCATCTATAAATGAGAAATTGGAACAGGATCCACAACATTTCTATTAAGATTTCATTGGCTGGATGTGGTGATGAATAGTGTAATCCTGGCTACTTGGAAAGTTAAGACCGAAGCATCACAAGGTCCAGGCCAATCTGGGAAATATAGCAAGTCTTAAAAAAAAAAAAAAAAAGCCGGGCAGTGGTGGCGCACGCCTTTAATCCCAGCACTTGGGAGGCAGAGGCAGGCAGATTTCTGAGTTCGAGAGTTCGAGGCTAGCCTGGTCTACAGAGTGAGTTCCAGGACAGCCAGGACTACACAGAGAAACCCTGTCTCAAAAAACAAAAAACAAAAAAAAAAAAAAAAGGAAAAGAAAAGAAAAAGACCTGGAGAAATGGTGCGCCACAAGTTTTTAATTCCAGCACTGGGGAGATAAAAACGGGAGGCTCAGAAGTTCAAGGCCACTCTCAACTGTATCCAGTTGAAGGCCTGCCTCTCAAACAGAAAACAAAGAACAGTTGTGATGATCCACTGCTTGGGAAGTGGGGATAGAAGGACCAGCTCAGTTATCCTCTGTAATATAATGACAGCCTGGGTTAAATGACACTCTGTTTTTAAAACAAAAGGTACCTGCCTAACATGCCTGAGGCCCTGGGTCCTATCCCCTGTACCATAAGAAATTAGATTAATGCATGTAAGCTACTTAAACATTGTCCAGCACTTGGCCCGAAGTTATATTGCAGGGGATATTTTAAAACACATACAATGACAAAGGAATATCAATAGGATTCATTTACCTATTTTTTATTCTTCACTTCAGACAACCCAAAAAAACATTACTTAGTTGATGTTTAGGTTTTTTTTTGTTAGCTTGACACAAATTATGATCGCTTGGAAAGAAGGACCCTCAACTGAGAAAATGCCTCCATCAGACTGGCCTGCAGGGATACTTTGTAGGGGCGTTTTCTTGGCTAATAACTGACGTGGGCAGGTGAGTCTGGGTTGAAAAAGCAGGCTACAGCAAGCCTTGAGGAGCAAGCCGGTAAGCCGTGTTCCTCCACGGTCTCTGCTTCAGCTCCTGGCTTGATTTTCAGCCCTGACTTCCCTTAGCAATTTAACAACAAAAGTTTGTGCAACAATATACCCAGTGAGCCATCTCCATCCTGCTTGCTTACTTTTTGAAGTAGGTTCTCACTATGTAGTCCAGGGTGGCCTGGAATTGACTTATGTAGGCCAGACTGGATTCGAACTCATGTTCCTCCTGCCACCCTCCATCCCCTACATCACCCTCTTATAGGATTACTATTATGCTAGACTTAACATCTTGAATTTCAGCCTTGGAAATTCTGTTTATGACAGAGAGGAATACTCAAGATACAGATTCTAGTTTAAGGTGTACATAACAGACGATTGGCTAGTTTCCTTAGGTCAAAGCCCCACAGCTTGTTTTTCCTAATTGCATCTTGTTATTAAAATACTCAAGTTTCCTAGGGGCGACCATCCAAATCCAGTTAGTCCCAGGGAACACACACATGGATTCTTCTCATCGCATAGGTGTTTAGAGATTCATCACTGCTTTAGGAACTAGAGAATGTTCTAGGAGTCAGACTCTGCATATATTTTATTTGCCTGGCCAAATGTGTGCTGCTAAGCAGCCTAAACCACTTTCGTGAGAAAGTCTTATTTCTGACTTTTAGCTACTGGTTGGTATACGCACCCCCGTGCTTCTGATCCCAGTATATTATCCCTGTCTATACAAAAGGTGTCAAGGGGAAAAATGAATAGAACTCAAGGGGTGGAGCCTCGGTCCTTGTACGGGAAACTACAGTCCTTTAATGCGCCTGCGAGGCTCCCACGCCCCAGGAAAGGTTCCTATCGATTTGCTCTGTGCTCCGCAGCTCTTTCTGGTTGCAGGCAGCCATCTTGCCTGGAGCCTGAGACAGGGAGAAGAGAAGGAACGGGTGACACTGGGCTCAGAGCCGCCGGGGGACCTCAAGAGCTAGGGGTAGCCCCGGAGGTGGTCCTGGGTCCTGGGCAATGCTCTAGGACCAGAAAAGGGAAGGCGGAGGGCAGAAAGCTTGATGGGTGGGGAATGTCAAATAAGACTTGCTATGGGGGGGAGGGGCGTTGCTAAGGCAACTGGAGAGGGCGGGGTCATGTCTGAATTGCTGCTGTGAGTCACCGGAGTGCTGCCCAGGAAAGGCAGGGCTGGGGTGATGACCACGCTAACGACCCAGTGGGATTTTGCGACATCACCTGTGTGGAGGGACTTCGTATCTATGGCAACTGTCACCTGGTGGAAGGGGCGGAACTAGATTTCCTCGGCCTGGGACGCTGACATTCCAAGCCCTTGCCCTGCAGGCTCCCGCAGGCAGAAGCACCAAAGAAGGAAGCCAGGGAATGGCCGCGGTGTGGCAGCAAGTCTTAGCAGTGGACGCGAGGTGAGGCGTGGGGTTGGAGCCCATGGGAGCGGAACTTACTGTGGTGCATGAGCAATGGCGATAAGTGAAGCTGGGCGGAGAAGTTGGCTGATGCGGCTGCGTAAGCATGCGCAGTAGCTTGGTGTGGGATAGTCCTGCGGTGAAGTGGCCGGGGCTGGAGCAGGTTCTAAAGAGCATGCTGGGAAAATGCGGTTTGAAATGGACATGCGCAGACTGTCTTTGGGTGGGTAGTGGAAGTCAGGCTAGTGACTTCCTATCTAGTCCCTCATTGCCTATCCTCTTTCCCAACTTTTCTTGATATCACTACCCTACTATTATTACACAATTGCTACCCCATACTAACCTCTACCATTACCTTACCCTAACCTCCATTGATGTACATTACCAATCTGATGTATGTCATCATGCTAGACTGATATTACAGTTTGCCCAGACTGACCCCAACAGAGCTGCAAATTGACTCTATTGTCACCAGACTGACCTTTTCATCATAACCACTAATTATTGTGTAATTACCCCATCACAATCCCAAGAGAAATCCTCCTTTTGCTGCTCTTGATCACTCTTACCATCCCAGTCACTGCCAAACATTGTACCACCCTATGCCTCGAGCTGATTTATTCCCTCTGTCCTGTGCCTGCTGCCTGCCCTGCCTCCTGGACCCCACAGGTACAACGCCTACCGTACACCAACGTTTCCACAGTTTCGGACCCAGTATATTCGCCGGCGCAGCCAGCTGCTGCGGGAGAATGCCAAGGCTGGGCACCCCCCAGCACTGCGTCGGCAGTACCTGAGGCTACGGGGCCAGCTATTGGGCCAGCGCTACGGGCCACTCTCTGAGCCGGGCAGTGCTCGTGCCTATAGCAACAGCATTGTCCGCAGCAGCCGCACTACCCTTGATCGAATGGAGGTGAGCTCCTGGCTGTACCACCTGCCATGGTATTTCCCCTGCCTCCGTAGTCACCACAGCCTTTGGTCAAACATCAGTGATGTACAAAGTACTGTTCCAGGGTCTTGGTTTTTTGTTTGTTTGTTTGTTTGTTTGTTTTTTCGAGACAGGGTTTCTCTGTGTAGCCCTGGCTGTCCTAGAACTCACTCTGTAGACCAGGCTGGCCTCGAACTCAGAAATCTGCCTGCCTCTGCCTCCCAAGTGCTGGGATTAAAGGCGTGCGCCACCACCGCCCGGCTCTGTTCCAGGGTCAATAGAGGACTAAAAGGTAGTAATATAGAAGCCTAGTCAATGAACATAGATAAGCAGACAGTGAATTAGAGCAAGTCAGATTGATGAGTTGATAATTTACCATGATGTCTTAAGTAATGCTAAGATACCAATGTACAACAGACTTAAGAGACAAAAAGGAACAAGCATTTGGTGCAGGAATATAGTTCTGTGACTAGCGTAATTGCCTAGTATGCGTGAGGCTGATGGTTCGATTCCTGACATGGCCAAGAGAATGAAAAGTCACTGCTTTGAGCTAAAGGAGGGAGCTGTGTTTAATAAGGAAGACTTCTCTGGGGAGGTAACCTGACAGAAGTGAGAGAGTGATTTGAGTGGTTTTCCGGGGAGAAAGTAGTCATTCCTTGTGAGGAAAACATGTATGTACTGAGGATGCATTGAACAGGCAAGGACAGAAACGGGCACTAGTGGAGAAACTGTTGAAACCGCGCAAGAGAGCAGCAAGATGGTGGCGGTTGGCGGTTGGCACTGCGTACGGTGAGAAGAGATCAGGCCTCAGACTTCAGCTCTTCTCAGAGACTAATTTCTTTTCTTTTTGAGACAGGATCTCACCATGTAGCCCAGTCTAGCCTCAAATTCACTATGTAGCCAAGGCAGGCCTTGAGCTCAGTGATCTTCCTGCCTCAGTTTCCCAAGTGCTGGAATTAGAGGCATGCACCATGCCCAACCCTCTCTTGTTGTTTGCAGGACTTTGAAGACGATCCCAGAGCCCTGGGGGCTCGAGGACACCGCCGTTCTGTCAGCCGAGGCTCCTACCAGCTGCAGGCACAAATGAACCGTGCAGTCTATGAGGACAGGTACACACTAGAGGCAGGCAGGGGGTGGAGATTCACCAGGGGGAGAGGGGCCCTGGGGCGTGGCAGTCTCAACACCCACACCTACCTCCTATTACCCCCTACTTCCTGTTGGGGCTCAGGCCTCCTGGCAGTGTGGTACCCACATCGGTGGCAGAGGCAAGTCGGGCCATGGCCGGGGACACATCGCTGAGTGAAAACTATGCCTTTGCAGGCATGTACCATGTTTTTGACCAACACGTGGATGAGGCAGGTGAGCTAACGGGTGGCAGGGCCCATCACCAAACATTTGTTCAAACAACTACCCAAGGCGTCCTTTTCAGGTGAAGGCCTCTGGCACCACACCTCAGAAGGAGGAATTACCACTGATAAAACCGTTAGCAAATACAAAAGCCCTCTGCAAAGTGGTCTGCAAAGTTTTTGGTACTTTAGGTACTGTAAAAAGCCACAGAAACCCAAGAGAGAGCCCTTTGTAGCAGGCTGCCTGAGTTCTTGAGTTTGTTGGAAGAGTTCAAAACCTTTGCTGATCTTAACTCCCTTGCAGAGGGCAGAGTGGGCCACAATGCGTGGCTGGTTTTGCAAACTCCTGAGAGCTTGACTAATGTAAAGTACTCAATAAGACAGTACAGTTTTTTTTTACATTGCAAAAGGCTTTTGCTATCCTCAAAGTGCTTGCTAAGATTTAGAGAGCATTTTGGGAATAGGCCTTCTAAGATTACAACTGCCTTTGTCAGCCAAGGAAAGTCCTTTATTGAGGCTACCATTCCTTGTGCTCAGTGAATGTGTTGACTCCCACAAATGGCTCCTTGGCATTTGCAGTCCCAAGGGTGCGCTTCGCCAATGACGACCGGCACCGCCTGGCCTGCTGCTCACTGGACGGCAGCATCTCCCTGTGCCAGCTGGTGCCTGCCCCACCCACTGTGCTCCATGTGCTACGGGGCCACACGCGTGGCGTCTCGGACTTCGCCTGGTCCCTCTCCAATGACATCCTCGTGTCCACCTCCCTCGATGCCACCATGCGCATCTGGGCCTCTGAGGACGGCCGCTGCATCCGTGAGATCCCTGACCCTGATGGCGCCGAATTGCTGTGCTGCACCTTCCAGCCGGTCAACAACAACCTCACTGTGGTCAGGCTCCAGGACACCTGCTCACGAAGGGCGGGCATGCTGGGTCTGGAGGGCTGTCGTGGGGCTGTAGAGTATAAGGTTTAATACCCCCAAGTCCTATCACAGCAGTCCTGTGGTCAGACTCAAAGGGAGAGATCAACAAAAACGAGAGGTCATGATCTGGAATGGCCTTGCTGTGTAGACTTGTGTGTAGACTCCTGGGCTGGGGTGGAGGGGGTGGCTCATGGCCCTGGGATTCCTCTGGTCTCGTCAACCACAGTCTCACAGTTTTCTGTCTACAGGGGCTGCTGCTAGCGAGCAGGATGATGAGGCTGAAAGCTCGTCTAGTCTATCAGTGGCAGCCCCACTGTTGTCAGACTCCAGGACAGACTGGTCAAAGGGCAGAGGAAGGACATGGAAAGTCTGGCATGGCCTGGGGGGGTAGGGAGTTGAAATATAGGGGAACAACAGGCCATGAGTGAGCTAGCACTTGTGGCTCTGTCTCTTTGTAATGGGAGCAGCTCATGGCTTCAGGAGGGGGCAGTCCAGGGTGTAAGGGAAAGATGTAAAGGCGTGACAAGCCGAGGTTTTCAGACTCTGAGACTGCTTTGGTCTCATGAACCCAACTGGTCTATTGTGGGCATTTTGAGCTAAGGAGTAGGAATTATGCCTGGGTCACCTTCTGGTAATACCTGTCACAGTCCCACTAGTCCCCACGCAAAGGACTAGACGGGTCAGAATGATGGTGTGTGTATTTCATCCACAGGTGGGGAACGCCAAGCACAATGTGCATGTCATGAACATCTCCACAGGCAAGAAAGTGAAGGGTGGCTCCAGCAAGCTGACAGGCCGCGTCCTCGCCCTGTCCTTTGATGCCCCTGGCCGGTTGCTCTGGGCAGGTGATGACCGCGGCAGTGTCTTCTCCTTTCTCTTTGACATGGCCACAGGTAGGCAGACCACAGGCCTCGGTTTCAATACCCTCCGTTTTTTCTCCCAGGATTCAGTCCTTGTCTTTACCTTTGCCTCCACTGATTTAGGAAAGCTGACCAAAGCCAAGCGACTAGTAGTACATGAGGGCAGCCCTGTAACCAGCATCACTGCCCGGTCCTGGGTCAGCCGTGAAGCACGGGATCCGTCACTGCTCATCAATGCCTGCCTCAACAAACTGCTGCTCTACAGGTGGGTTCCTCCCGCTCAGGGCCATCTTGGCAGGGATGGCCTGTCCCTCCCTTCCCTCAGAGTGGAACAAGAACCTGTCTCTATCACATTAATTTAACCAAGGTTAGAGGACCTCATAACATTATGAGGATACGGTTGGAGATGTAGCTTAGGGCAGAGTGCTGGTCTAACTGGTGCAGAGCTCTGAGTTCCATCCCCAGAAACACCACACACACAGTATGTACTATAGTGATACCTGGCCTACAATATAAATACTATGCAATAATAGTAATATCAATAGAACAGAAATAGGAATGGCAGTAATAAGAACCGACATGAGCCGGGCAGTGGCGGCGCACGGCTTTAATCCCAGCACTTGGGAGGCAGAGGCAGGTGGATTTTTTAGTTCGAGGCCAGCCTGGTCTACAGAGTGAGTTCCAGGACAGCCAGGGCTATACAGAGAAACCCTGTCTCAAAAAAAAAAAAAAAACCAAACAAAAAAAAATTAAAAAAAAAAGAACCTACATTGAACGTTGCTGTGGCCAGGTCCCCCTCAAAGCAGTTTGTATGTCACCTTCTTTATCCTCATATTCAGTGGGAGAGCACTGGCGTAGCATGTATGAGGCTGTGGATCCCATTCCCAACATTATAATTATAGAAAAAAAAACCACCAGCACTTATTCCTGTTTCTTTGTTTGTGTGTGCGTGTGTGCACGCGTGTGTGTGTATGTGTGTGCGTGTGTGTGTGCGTGTGTGTATATATGTGTGCACATGTGTATGTGTGTGTATGTGTGTGTGTGTCTGCACAGCATGGAGCATATACCGAGGTCAGAGGACAACTTGTAACAGTCTGTTCTGTCCTTCGTGTAGGTTCTAGGGATCCACATCAGGTTGTCAGGCCTGGCAGCATGTGTCTTTACATGGCTCTCCAGTTCCCTTGCTTTCTTTTCCTTTCTTTGGTGCTGGGAATTGAACCCGGAACCTTGTATGTACATGCTAGTAACACACTCCTCCACTGAGAATACCCACGGCCTCTATTATTTTGTTCTTTTGATTTGGGGACAGAATTCACTCTTCCCTCTCACTTCCATCACGGTACAATTCTTTAGCTGGGGTCTATAACATAATAACCAGAATCACTTTTAAAAGGTGTGTTTTTTTCATGCTGGGCTCATGCCCTAGATCACATTACTTGGGAGGTAGAGGCAGGCTGATCTATATGGATTCAGGATGAGCCTGATCTACATAACAAGTTTCAGGTTAGCCAGAACACACAGCAAGACTCTGTCTTCAAACAAACAAACAAACAAACAAACAAAACCTAAGGGGCTGGAGAAATGGCTCAGCAGCAGTTAAGAACACGTGCTGCTCTTCCAGAGGACTGAGGTTCAGTTCTCAGCAATCATGACAGTTTGCACCTGTCTGTAATTCCAGTTCTAGGAATTGAGACCATCTTCTGGCCTTTTTAATACTATACACATGTGGCACACAGACATACATGCTGGCAAAACACCCATGCACATAAACTGAATATACAGAATTATAAGAATTATACAGAATTAAAAGTTAGTGTGATGAGACACCTATGATGCCAGCACTCTAAGGCCTGATGCAGGAGAATCACTTGAATGCATGAGCTCAGACTAGATTTGTACAATACAGTAAGACTCCATCTCCAAATTAAAAAAAAAATTCTGAATTTTATAAACATTGTAAATATCTGAGATACAGGATTCTGAGCATATATTGGCCCATGACTCATCACCTCCCTAGACTTATTCTGTGCCCTGACCTTTCTCTTTTGCTTTCTCTTCAGAGTGGTGGACAATGAAGGGGCGCTACAGCTGAAGAGAAGCTTCCCGATTGAACAGAGTTCCCACCCTGTACGCAGTATCTTCTGCCCCCTCATGTCCTTCCGCCAAGGGGCCTGTGTGGGTGAGTACTTAGGAGCAGGGAAACTGGAAAAAGGCAGAGACCAGTAGTGCAGCCAGTCTGGTTCCAACATCATGACACCCATGATTTCCTGGGCCTTGTGGTCTCCTGTGCCCTAACAGCCTCATGCCTAAACGTTAAAACATGGAGCCGCAAACAACTTGGGAACTTCACACCTGAGATACAGAGCTCACAGTATCCTAAAATTTCACATATTACTCACAGAACCTAAGGAGGTGGATGCACTTCCATCTAGGGATAGGGGTGGTACCTTGTAGACTATCCCAAGCTATCTGAGGCCCTCACACCTCACATAACTTCAAGGACTTCATAGTGGGGGTGCCACCATAGCCCCCTGATAGCCTCTCCCTCTCATCTGGACAGTGACAGGCAGTGAAGATATGTGCGTTCACTTCTTTGATGTGGAGCGGGCAGCCAAGGCTGCTGTCAACAAGCTGCAGGGCCACAGTGCACCCGTGCTTGACGTCAGCTTCAACTGCGACGAAAGTCTGCTGGCCTCCAGTGATGCCAGTGGCATGGTCATCGTCTGGAGACGAGAGCAAAAGTAGGGTTCTGCCACCCTGTGGTGCCCGCTGATCCGTCCTCTTTCACTCCAGTCTTGTGTTATAAATTAAATTCCCGTGGTTGTGTTGAAGGGCAACTCCCAGGTCTCCCACAAGGAGGCAGTAGGGAGCACTCAGGCCTCCAGTGGAATAGGGACCAGTTCCTCAATTGTGCAGTGATGTGCTCATCCATTTAGCAAGCACTTGCTGAGCCTCTGCTGTGATGTATCACGTAGGCATGCAATCAGTAGACAGGATGGAGGGCACCAACTGTGTTGTCAGGAGCTGTTCTGAGAAGTAGAGATACAGCTGTGGCCTCAACTGACAGAAGTTCCTACCCCTGTGGGCTTGCATCCCAATAGAGGAAAGCACACGGGAGACAAAAGTACAGCCATTCCTTGGTGTAGAATTTGCTTTATAATTTTTCAACTTTATGACTTTTTGACCTTCCAGTGGTAGCAAACCACATGCATATACCTAGTTCTGTTTTTCTACTTTCAGTATGGTGTTCAGTAAATTACGTGAGCTAGTCAACACTTTGTTATAAAATAGACTTTGCATTAGGTAAGTTTGCCTCCCTGTAGAGTAATGTCAGTGTTCTGGGCACATTTAAGGTAGGTGACACTAAGCTAGGGTGTTTGTTAGGTTAGGTATATTTATGCATTTTTAACATAAGATAGTTCAAGACAGATTTGTTGGGGTATAACCCTGTTTGTTGAAGACACATGTGTATATAATAGGTTATTAAAGATGAGTGCTATGAAAAAAAGTGAAGGGGAAAGATGAGGTTGCAGGAACATTAGCTTCTTGGGGCAATATCATCAGGAAAGTAATCCAAACAGGATGACATTTTAAAGATCTGAATGAAATAAAGGAAGTCATAGTGTAGGCTTAGGGGAACATCCTTGACAGGAAGAAAGGTTAGTGCTGAGGCGCTGAGCCTGGAGTAGGTCAGAGTGACTGGCCGGAGTGTGCGAGTTGACGTGAGACAGGTCTTCAGGATGTCTTGGGCCATAGTGAGGAAGGAAGCTTTCCTTTCCTGAGTGAGGAAGATGAGGCAGGCTCACACCACAGTAGGGAAATTAGGTGCAGAATGTTGAGTTCAACCCCAGGGCTTTCACTAGACTAGATTGTGAAACTCCCCAACATTGGCAGCTCCTGTTTGGGTGGACCCCACACTTCTCTGTGCTTTGAGCAGAAGTGCTGAGTTCTTGGAGGAGTACCAGATTAACATGCAGACAGCCATGGACTCTGGGGCCGAGCCATGCTCCTGCTGTGGGGTGGAAGAAATAGAAAATCTCCAAGTTCACCCCTATCTCCTCCCATGTCCATCCAGGACCCTTATTTCAGTCCTGGACCTGCTCAGAGACCAAATACTAATGTTTATTATTGGGTATTGGCAAGGAAATAAATTCCCAAATCACTCTCGGTGGTTAGGTCATGACGATAGTTGAAGGTTTAAAGAATCACCAGGGGCTCTTAGAGCTCCCAAATGCTGCTACATTCGCAGTTGGAACTTTGGCTAACATCTTGGGACCTCTGAGTTTCCAACCTGGTTAGCTATGGAACTAACAGCTCTTTGAGAGAAAAAGATAATTTCCTATTTGTTTCATCTCTGGTTTAAGAGTATGGTCACTTCCAGCCAAAAACTTTTCTGACTCTATCAGCCCAATCTTAGGCAAATGGTTATTAGATTGGAATGTCAGTGAGCTGGACTGGTCATTGTAGTCAAAGTCATACATGTGTGCCAACATCCCTAATCCAGCTTCAGGGTCAGTGATTTTTCTATGAGGACTGTAACTTAATACAGCTGAAAGGTACAGCAAAGGGTGCCAGACAGCAATTAAGTGCTAATCTTTTAAAAGAACCTCCCAAGGTTAGCAGTTCAGACCTGTGCGTTGACTCTTTTCCTGTACCAAATGGATGCACTTATTCAACCAAGGTCTGTAGGTAGCAAGAGAATTGGAGGAAATAACAGTTTTCTCTAACTTTCTTCTTTTCTTCATGCTCTCCATTTTCTGGTTTCAGGATGATTGGTGATGAATATTGTTTGCATGATTTTGGGGGGGTTTCCTTCTTGTGCAATTTTTGAGGTGGCAGAGTTGACATTCTACTTTAAATTATCTTGGTGACACTTTGTCTCACAACCTGAAGGAAAATAAACACTTTGAGCAAACAAGAAAGAATAAAAAATAATGTTATTGGTCAAACTCGGGCCTCTGTTCATTTGTCCGTCATCACTATGCCTCTGGCTTGACATCAGAATTCTGTCCATCATCCAGGCTCCTTTACTCTCCTCTTGAATCCAGACTTGGTCCACGCCCTTTATCTGATTTTGACTTGGATGCTTGCTAACTTCTACACTACTGAAAACAACTCAAGACTGAGCCTGAAAGCTGAGCATTTATTAATTATTTCCCCAACACTGCGTACCACTTCCTAGCAAAATCCAAAACCTGAGCGTCCACTAATTGTCTCCTGATCAGACTTTGAACTTGAATGTGGACTTGTGTTAGTTTTGCTCTGATGATTCTCAATCTTAACCTTATATCAGGAACTCTATTATTTGACCATTGGTTTCCTTAATAGGATCATTTCCAACCTCTATATTATACTCTATGTTTAGTATAGAGTAACATCTATGTATTGTATACTATAGAGTATGCATACATGTGTATATATGTTATATATGTAATGTATAGAGTATACATGTGTATGTATATATACATATAGTATAACATAGAGTATACAGTAAATGTTCATGCGATCGAAACTTAAGGCCAGGCCTCTGTCAACTATTCTCCCATTACTGTCTCTTAGGTATAGCCTCAGATCTGTACATTTGTTTGCTTTGTTTCTAGGGATGGAGCCTAGATCAAAATGATAAGGAAAAGTTGTACCACTGAACCACACACCTGTACCTGAGACTTTCTTACTGTTTCCTTCACCAATGTCTATCTAGGGTGACCTCAAACTCAAAAAAATGTTTTTAGACAGTCTCTAGCTAGCCTCTAGCTGATGGCTGTCTTCCTACTTCACCCTCCCAAGTGCTGGATAACAGGCATGCGCCACTAACTCAAGCTAGATGCTTTAAATTATTTTTTGTTTCAATTTCAAATAATTTTTATTTTATGTGTATGGGTATTTTGCCTGTATATATATCTACTACTAGTATCTGTGGTACCCACAGAGGCCAGAAGACAATGTTAGATCCCCTGGAACTGGAATTACAGACAGATTTGTGGGCCACAGTGTGGGTGCTGGGAACCAAACCTGGACTCTCTGAAAGAATAACCAGTACTCTTAGCCACTGAACCATCTCTCAAGCTATCAGATATTTTAAATTCTACTACTGTTGGTGTCCATACGACCTGCCCTGAAACCTGGACCTCTGTTAACGCCTCTGCCATCAGGACCTCTCCCTGCTCTCTTAGCCTTAGTTTCTTGAACTCTTCCATCGGTGTCATGGCATCCTGTACTCTAGCTTGAGACTTTTCAAGACCTGCAAACTGAATCGAGGCCTAGGCTAATACATGAGCAATGTTCCTCAGGTCTGAAACCTGGAAAGTTGGGCCTCTGATAGTTTCTTCACACTCAGTACTTTTGAGACCTCAGGAAAGTAGTCCCTGTTGAGAGTTTTCAGCTCTTCCCTCACACCCTGGCCTCTACTTTTTCCCTCCCCACTGACCCCTGGCCTCTATTTTCTATTCCTCTCGAACTATTCTGATCTTGACCTTAGGGAACATCAGTTCCTCTGGGCATGCTTCACACCCTTGTGTCTGCCAACTATTGCATGACCATTTTTATTTTGTTCTAATCATGAGCTCCTCCAACCTGTTTCACCACTAATGCCTTTTTGGTCTCATCCAGTATTGAAATTCTGGATGAATATTCTTTGGCTCAACCTTGAATCTAGGTCTTTGGTTAATATCCCTCCACTGCTCGCCCTCTGTTCCAGCTAGGCCTTTGTGAACTCTAGTACTATCAAGACATCTCTGGGCTGACCTTTGAATCAGACTCCATCAAAATTGCCTTTAGAGGCTGGATTGATGGCTCAGGATTAAAGGCCCTGGCTCCTTTTCCAGACAACCCACGTTTGGTTCCCAACACCCACATCAGTTGACTCATATCCACCTGTAACTCCAGCTCCAATGGATTTTAGCCCTAGCTACTGTGGTCAGTCACACAGACATGGCATATACATACATAGACATACACATATATATTTAAGTAAAATCGTATTTTGTTTGGTTTGGGTTTTACTTTTTGAGACAGGGTTTCTCTCTATAGCCCTGACTTTTCTGGAATTCACTTTGTAGGCCAGACTGCCCTCTAATTCAGAGATCAACAAGCCTCTGCCTCCCAAGTGCTACGATTAAAGGCATGCACCACTATACCTGGCTCATAAAATCTATAGACATCTTTAAATTTTTGTTTAGATTTTAAAAAATAATACTACCAATCAGTTTGTATCTATATGTATCTATTTATAGGTTTATTTATTTATTTATTTATTTGTATGTATGTGAATACACTGTCACTGTCTTCAGACACACCAGAAGAGGACATCAGATCTCATTACAGATGGTCGTGAGCTACCATGTGATTGCTGGGAATTGAACTCAGGACCTCTGGAAGAGCAGTTAGTGCTCTTAACCTCTGAGCCATCTCTCCAGTTCCCTTGTTTAGATTTTTAAAAGTTTATGTATGTGAATGTTTTGCCTGTACATGGGTTCTTGGTATCTATGGAGGTTACAAGAAAGCATCAGATCCCCTGAACTCCTTCTGAAGTTACAGAAGGTTGTGAACCACCATGTCGGTTCTGAGACTTGAACCTGAGTTCTTTGCAAGAGCAACAAGTGCTTTTAACCACAAAGCCCTTAAGTAGAGGGTCTCGTTAACTATACCATCAGTGCTTCTCTGATATAGCATTGAACTCAGGCTTTCATTAAATCTAGTTTAATGTGGGTATCTTTGCAGACACCAGCGTTGGCAGAGTGATGATACTTGTGAGGCAGGAAGGAAATCTGAGGCTGGAGAGGTGGCTGAGTGTTAAGAGCACTGACTGTTGTTCTTCCAGAGGACTCGGGTTCAATTCCCTGTACCCACATGGCAGTTCACAGCTGTCTATAACTCCAGTGGCAGGGGAATCTAACATTCTCACACAGACGTGCATGCAGGCAAAATAAATGATATTTTAAAAAGAAGAAAACACAGTTCAACTCCATATCTGGTGTTGGTTCAAACTTCTAGAGTCTGATACTGGGCAATTTATTGTGAGCCTATTTAAGAACAGTACAATTTATAACAAAAAGTTTCCTGATATAACACAATTTCCTGTGCACAAAGAGGCAAAAAGTTACTTCTTCCATGAGGCTGGGTTTTAGAGGTAGGCTGTACATGTATTATCATTAGGGCCTAGGAGAGGATCCAGTGCGGTTGCACTCATACAGATAACACAGAGGTCATCTAGGCTGTTACACATCTCCAGTCCTGCTTCAGGGAGCTTGTGAGAGCTTGGTATGGCCTGGCCCTCCAGACAGCAAAAGGATTACTAGGCTATGAGACACTACCATTCCCAGCCTTCTAGGCAGAAACCAGGTTATATATATTTTCTTTTAAAAAGACAACTCTACATATTTAATGTTCCTGGTTTCCCGTTGTGCTCCCAACAGTTTAAAAGCCTCTTCTGGTCTTAGATCAAACCCAGATCTCTTTTTTGTTGTTTTTGCTTTTGAGACAGGGTGTTGCTAGCTAGCCCAGATGGCACAGAACTCCTTATATTGATCAGGCTGAACTCTATCTAACTCACACATCAGCTACCCCACCCCCACCTCCATTGGTTTTCTATGTAGGGTCTCATGTAGGTGAGGTTGGCCTCAAATACTATGTAGCTGAGGCCAGTCTTAAACTACTGGTCTTCATGACTTCCCATCCTAAGTACTAGCTGGTACCACCACCTAAACCTCTTTTGAACTATTCAACCTTCAGGTTTCTCTGAATCATGGCCGTTCTTTGGTTGTTTGATCTTTGTATACTACCTTGCTGGGTGTAGTGGCACATACCTATAATCCCAGGACTTGAGTGGCAGAGACCGGTGGGTAGATGGACATCTGTGAATTTGAGGCCAGCCTTGTCTACACAGTGAGTTCCAGGCCAGCCAGAATTATATGGTGAGAATTTGTTCCCAACCCCCATCCCCCCTCACCTCCTCAAAACAGGGGGTAGGGGGTAGAGAGATGTCTCAGTGGTTAGAAGCATTGGCTGCTCTTCCAGAGGACCCAGGTTCAATTCCCAACACCCACAAGGCACAGCTCACAACTGCCTATAACTCTAGTTCTAAGTAATCTGACCCCCTCTTCTGGTTTCTGTGGGTACAGCACATGTACATGGTACACAGACACATGCAGACAAAACACCATACACATAAAATAAATAAAGTCAAAAATGAAAAACAAGGCCAGGCTGGCCTTGAACTTATAGTGGGCCTTCTACTTCCACCTTCTGAGTGCTGGGATTACAGATGTGGGCCACCATGCCTGGCACACTATTCTCAATTCTCAAACCAATGTCCCTGTAGTCTGAATTCAGACTCCAGGCTCTGTTTCCTGTTCTAGAATCTACTCACCACTTGTTTAGCCTCTGTACACCCAAATATTTATCCAATCATCTCTACCCCTTCCATGCTCTGACCCCAAGCTACTACTTGGGGCCTCTGCTAACTACTTTTCCATGAACAGTTGGAATACTATTCATGGCCCATGAGGAGTGACACTATTAGGAGGTGTGGCCTTGTTCGAGGAGTGTGCCCTTGTTCAAGGAATCGTGTCACTATGGGGGCAGGTTTTGAGATCTTCTATGCTCAATCTATGCCCAGTGTGGCACATAGTCCCCTTCTGCTGCCTTCAGATCAAGATGTAGAATTCTCAGCTCCTTCTCCAGTACCATCCCTGCCTGCACACTGCCATGATGCTTCCTGCCATGATGATAATGGGCTAAACCTCTACAGTGTAACCCAGCCCCAATTAAATGTTGTCCTTTATGAATTGCCATGGTCATGGTGTCTCTTTACAGCAATGGAGGCCCCAACTAAGTTTGTATGCCAAGATGTACCAACTAGTCTAATATCAGCACCTGCATCTCATCTAGATATTCAAACAGAACAATTGTTAACTAATAAAAAATCCTGTCCCTGCTGGGCATAATGATG